TTCCAGGTCAAAGGTCGTGGTGACTCGAAGAACGAGCACCAGACGTATTAAGACGATCAAGGGCACGTCGAAACGAGTGACCCTTGGATCAGTCTCGGTCCAAAAGGACGGACCTACGAACGAGTTGTTCGAGGCCTTCAAAGACAAGATGCCGGAGGCATCCTCAGTTGAGGTGCTCCAACTTGTCTTGGCATCTGCCGAGGAGATAGTAAATCTCTCGGAGATGACGTGGGATCTGTTCCTGTCTGAATTAAAGGAAGGAAAGATCCACGAGATAGTCGCACCAGTTCCAGAAGAGAACGTGGTGGACTGTTGCTCTTCATCCACAATGGATGAGAGCGTCTTGGAGACCGACAAAAAGAAACGGTTCGCTGCTCAAGGCTGGGATGCCTTGAAGGACAGCCCGTTCTATGATGTTCTGTGGAAACACCGTGATGTGTTTCCAGCAGAAGTGCCGAGCCGCCTACCGGCCGATAGGAGCATCAGTCACGAGATTGGCCTGGAGCCTGGCACCAAGTATTGTGTGACCAGGCAATGGCCGTTGCCGAAGGAACAAGTCGATTACATCGATGAGTTCTTCGACAAGCGAGTCAAGGAGGGACATGTACGTGAGAGCAAATCGCCTCACTGCAGCCCGACCTTCTGTGTGCGTAGAGCAACAAGTGGATGGCGCGTGGTTTATGCTTATAATAAGCTGAACACGGCCACCATTCCGGCTCAAACGCCGATCCCGCGGAAAGATGTCTTGTTAAACTTCATGGGAAAGTCAACTATCTTTTCCGCGTTGGATCTGAAGTATGGCTACTATCAAGTTCTCATGAGAGATATCGATGTAGCCAAAACGGTAGTAAGAACGCCAAGCGGTATGCTGTGGGAGTGGCTTGTGATGCCACAAGGGTTGAAAAATGCTCCGGCAACATTCAACCGAGTGGTGGCTCACGTGATGCGTCAGCACCGTGCCTACGCGCCCCATTACTTTGACGATGTATTCGTGCATAGTAGGGCGCAGGAGGGGCGGTCTGAGCGCAATCGAGTCGCACAAGCGTCATTTAGACGCTAAGTTGCAGACTCTGGGTGACGCCAAATTGTACGTAAACTTGCAAAAGTGCGTCATAAGGGTATTCGAGATACCGAGCTGGGCTACATCGTAGGTACACATGGTGCACGAGCAGATCCAGAAAAGGTAAAGGATGTAAAGGACTACTTCATGTGACGGATCTGCGCCAACTCCTTGGGCTCGCTAATTACTTGCATGAGTACAGCAAGAATTGTGCGGAGCGGACTAAGCCATTGTCTGATCTTTTGAAAAAGGATGCAGAATGGACTTGGTCAAAGTAGCAAGAAGATGCGTTCACATCAGTGAAGCAATCTCTTGTAGAGGCATCGATCTTGGCATTGCCAGACGCGAATAAGCTCTTTAGCGTCGTCTGCGATGCAAGCAATTTTGCAATCGGCAGCGCGCTCATGCAAAAGGATGACAACGGCGTTGACCGTGTCATATCTTATCAGTCTTTTAAAAGCTGCCGAGTTGAATTAACCTGTGCATGACAAGGAGCTACTTTCAATGAAGTATGCCCTTGTAAAGTTTCGGGTGCACCTCTTGGGCACCGAACCTTTTGTGGTTTATACGGATCACGCATACTGCGTACCGCTATAAATTTACCGCATCTATCGCCGAGAATGGCGAGATGGCTAACATTCTTCTCTGAATTTAATTTCAAAGTTGAATATAAGCCGGGTAAGTCGAATGTCTTGGCTGACGCGTTATCGCGCAGACCAGACTTCGAGGCAAGACACCAGGAAAGTGTGTCTCGTGCGGAAGCACAAGGTGAGTCGTCAACATTGGCAGCCATGAAGGCCTACCATGTGACGAGCTCAATGGCCTCCGATATAAAGGAGTGTTACAGTCAGGACGAACATTGTCGCCTGCTGTTGGATCATTTTGGTGGACGAAAGTTTACCCTTCCGTTGCACCTGAAAGCGAAACTAAATCGATTTAGTTACACTGATGGCCTGTTATGGCATCAACTGTCACCCTGTGATCCCTTGAGAATCTATGTCCCTCATGACACAGATCTCAATCTGATGATACTTCACGAGTGCCATGATGCGCCATCTAGTGGGCATCTGGGCCGTGACAAGACATTCTTACGAGTGTCAGAGGAATTTTGGTGGCCCCACCTATATCGGTGGGTGGCCAACTATATTCGCTCTTGTGAAGAATGTCAGCGCATAAAGCCTGCACCTTCAAACAGTGCGCCACTGAAGCCACTGCCGATTCCAACTGAATGTTGGAAGTCGGTCAGTTTGGACTTCATGTTTGGCTTACCGCCTGACCATAAAGGCAGGACGGGGCTCTTTGTCTTTGTAGACAGACTGAGCAAGATGGTGCATTTGGCACCATGTAGCACCAAGATCTCAGGAAAAGAGGCTATCCTCTTGCTTCTGGATCACGTGTATCGACTACACGGGATGCCCGAGTCCATAGTATCGGATCCGAATCCGCGTTTTACGTCGGGTTTTGGCGACACGTGTTTAAGCTGCTAGGTAGCAAGCTCTACAGGTCAACAGCTGATCATCCCCAAACCGATGGCAAAAATGGAATGAGCCAATCAAGTCGTGGCAGATGTGTTGCGCACAATAGCGACTCGAAAGGAATGGAGCAAGCAAATTGCCATTTGTGAAGCTACCTATTAATAGAAGCGTTTACACCAGTACGGGTGAAACACCGTTTTATATTATCGGACTGCGTCATCCTCGAACGCCAGTCCCGTTTTTGCGCAGCCCGAGTATTAGTGGGGAGAGCCCCTCACTTCGCTCGGGGCAAATGCCAAAGAGGGTCCAAGGTTGCCCTAGTGACACTGCCAAATTAGCAGTGGTCACGATGTCACAGAGGAGGCACGGCAAGAAGTGCCTGTGCTCCTTGAAGATGACACTATAGTATTATCAACAGCGTCGACCCATGAACGACCTCTTGGAGGCGTCATAAGCGATCTGGATGCTAAAAAAGTGAGCGAAGCTCAGTGCTTTGTGGATGAGCCATTAGCCATTACACGTAAAGTCCGTGACGCGATGGCAAGCGCACAGGACAAGCAAAAACAATATGCAGACCAGCATGGTCGCAAAAACAATGAATACTTTAGTGTGGGGGACAAAGTGCTATTAAGTACTGCTACCCTACCTAAACATGCAATTTCTGTACTACCTGGTGTTACTGCTAAGCTATTGCCCCGATCCATGTGGCCCTTTACAGTGGTTGAAGAAGTTGGAGACCTAAATTATAGGCTCACACTCCCACCGTATATGAAGACGCACCCCGTATTTTACGTGGGTCGTCTGAAACGGTATGTTGATCCAGAAGAGTTCACATATCCACATCGGTCTAACGAGACCGATGGTGACGTCGAATGTGAGTCGAGCGTCGCGGCCGATCAGGCGACGAGGAAGCCGATAGGCTCCCCGTTTACGAACGAGGCGATAGAGGACTCGGCGATCGAGGAGGACTCCGCGCTTGACGCGGTTCTTTCATCACCAGTCACTCTAGGATGTACACACGGGTCTTCAGGCGGTCTAACCCCTTCCGGTCCCTCGTCCTTACATCGCGCAGATCCACAGTCAGTCGCGAGACTTGACTCTCGAGATCTGCCACCTGCCTCTTCAGCGCAGCGGACTCAGCCTGCGACCGCATAGCCACCCTCGCACGCGAAGGTAAGACGGTATAACCGCTTCCTTGCTTGTGCTGAAGGTGTGTGCTAGTAGCACGAGGCAACTTCGTAGAAGTGCCCGTCTACACCCAGCCGCCAGTCAAGCCGCCACGATGTACACCTTCACGCCGGAAGTCCAGGCATATCCACTTAGGTACGCTCCCGTATATTTTGTTCCCGGTGCAAGCAAGAAGAGACCCTTACTGGGTGGGACCTGTTGACAAGATCGACACCAAGGGATCCAAACAAGAAACCTACCGCTGGACATGCCCAGACCTGCACCTCCTTTGCCTGTGTGCAAAGAATCGTGCAGCCTGGACGGCCTTCAGCACGGAGCTTATAGCGCGCGCCGCTTAATGGATCTTGGCGAGAGTAGAGAGAACTGTAGAGAACGAGAGATAACCCGGCGCATGCGAAAGTTGAGCCACTTCTGTGGCAAGACGGCTCGCGAAATGCGTTCACATATGTAATACAATGTATTTTCTTTGAGAAGGCAGACGTTGAGTGAGGTATGGTATCGATAATATCGTTCGGTGAAGGCTTGATATCCGATATTTTTTTTTTTATTAGGTTACATGAGGTAGTGAAGTATACTTAACGAGGAGGTCTGAAGACGTACGTGGTACCTTAGACCTCCCATTCGAATGGTGTCACCCATTTCCCGCAGTGACCGAAGAAGGTCAGACCAGCACTAGTCGTAAGCCTACAGGAACATACGGTGGCTGTAAGGAATCTGACCGCGCTATAGCGTACACACTCTACTTCTCAAAAGACAAACATTCTAGTGTACGACTGGTGTCCGTCACGCCTGACAGGTTGCTGTCGAGTTTCTCAACAGCCGTAATGTGACATTGGACCCCAGGGCTGTGTCGGCATCGAGCCACGGAGGTTAGAGATGCAGGTTCCTCCTAGTGTCGACACACTGAACAGTACGAATGTGAAAGTCACCTACGGGACCCACTCTCTTGAAAGCGGACAGGCATGCACTCGAATTCAACACTTCCGAGCAAGGTGAGTCTCAGGACCTGACCACGTGGGAGCAGCTTATTCATGTGGTCAAGTGCGCCTCAATTAATACGGTGTGGAACGGTAAGTAGTTATGAATATGTTCGTTGCTTCTGAAATCATTCTTAGAAGCGCAAGATAGAAAAAGACAGAAGTGTGTTGGTTATGCAGCTAGTATACATCGTACGAAAATACAGCATTCTATCTTGTACTTACGCTTCTACTACGAATCGTTTTCGCTTGCAAAGGTTTAAACTAGCTACCATCACAGTGACGAGTCTTCAAAGCGACTTAACTTGCTTTAGACAAGCACTTGATCAAGAAATCAAGCGACTCATCGATCGTTGGAAGCTGACACGAAGTGTTTAATACAGCAGAGTTCTGGACGGTGTCAGCGATGCTGTTGGAGTTCACATCACCTAGACTCATTGAACCAGGCACCGTATCTAGCAAAAACTCAACCATATGCTCCGTCGTACTAAACCCTGAATTCGCCGGATGTTGCTGCGGCGAAGGCCAACCTTCGATGCGGTTGGGTAGGTCAATACCGAGACCCTCGTCCACGTTGCACGCGGCTAGCATATCGTTGCCGTGCTCTTTACGACCCGAGGATAGACGGCCTTTGTGCAGTCCATGCATGCGTCGCACCACCTTTTTGTGGTACATTAAAGCGTGCGTCTGCACTTGGCGACTGGAACGAGTGCTCACGTATGCCGCGACTTTGCGCCATGGGCCTTGAGGATAGAGTGTAATGGCGACTAGGAACTTGGCGTGCTCGTCTTAAAATCAGATACCGGTGATCATCGGAAGTGGTAGAGAGGTATGCGTAGTGCTGGTACGTGTTAAGCAGTGACACCAAGAGTGTCAATCGAAAAAATGAGCTCGAGTTGTTCTTAGATCGGAGTCGACCAGTATGTTGTTGGCAGTGTGTGTCGCGCAGCGTCCGGTGTCTATCTCTTGACAAGATCGTCGCTGACGGAGCGGTATGCTTTTGAGCGTCAGAGAGCGTTACGGCTGAACGAATATACTGACAAAGAGGGTGAAGCAATTGCAGAAACCGACTCCCTTGTTGTATGCAAACATGTTTCAAGCCACTGTATCTTGCCTGCTAGCTTCACCATCCGTCATGAGGAATCGTGGTGTTTGAAAAAAAGATTTTGGTGAGGTTAGCTCCGCATTATAGCCAATTTCTTGCTGGTTCCACATGTCAAAGCCTGTTGTTCGAGAACGTTGCAGAATTGAAGCTATCAAGTTGAAACATTTGAGATTTGTTTATTGTATCCTCAGGGTCATCCACAGTACAATTCCAATGAGGCGACCGCAAGCGCTGCCGAATGGAAACGACTTTGGCATATGATGAGCACCAATTGCATCACCAGTTTGTGGATACAACGCAAGGCTTCAGTAAGTGGACGTGACGATCGAAGGCAGCGTCAGGGAACTCTGGGATCTTAAGGCAACTTTGAGCTGCAGCGAAGCGAGACTGCCGGCGAGCTGAAACAAAATTCAAGGTGAAACGAATTTAAAGTAGTCGAGATAAGGCGTGGCTGAGAGCTTCGTTAGTCTCCGTGTACTTGCAGCAATGACTGCGAATGGCACGCGAATCTCGAGTTTCATTGGTAATAGATCGAAAGAGAGGTCGATTTGTCCTTCAGTGGTTATAGGATATCTGCTAGACCATATTCACGTTAGCAACGCCGGTTCCTCGTTTGAGTACGGTAATGTACGGGGCCGAAAAAGAGTGCAATGGAAATTGCACTCCTCTTTTAGGCGCTACGCCTTCCGTTTCCGCCAGAATAGGTGATAAAGACAACGGAGCTCCACACAAACATCCTGAAAAATACAATAGACTTCAATGCTTTTGGACGAGAATATAGTAACTCGTCTGGCGATGATGAATCTTGCGAGAATTCTACTTTAGTGAGATAGAGGGACGGTTTCTAGGCATATAGTCGACTACTCCTGAGTGACAGCGTTGATGATGCTGGCATCCCTGGCCATGTCGATAGTGAACGAAGCGCAAAGAGGGTTAGTCATGTCACCGTAAACGTCGCACCATGTGTCCGGTTTGATGGCCACCACGTAGTTGCTGTCCTCCACAACCCTTTTTAAACCACTTCCAATCTCCGGCTTGTATACTCCCCAATCCTTCGCTGACAACGAGAACGACACGACCTTGGACTCACCAGCTTGCAGCTCGATCTTCTTGAACTTCTTTAGCATCTTCATTTCCGGCACCGAGATTTTGCGAAACGGCTGAATGAGGAATAACATGACCGTCTCCTTGCCGGCGCGCAATCCCGCGTTGGTTACAATGACTGTGGCGGTAAGCGTCTCATCCGCGTTGGTGATGGTCGTCTTGTCAAGCGTGACGGAGGTGTAGTTGAACTTGGTGTAGCTGAGACCTGCACCAAAGTCCCATTGCATCCTGCAGTTGTCATACATGCAGCGCGTCGTGACAAGATGGTTGTACGGGATGGCGATATTGGCTGGGTCCTTCGGATACGTGATCGGCAGTTTACCACTTGGATTTACATCGCCAAACATGATCTCTGCAATAGCCTGTCCACCGAGCTCACACGGAAGCATGCCATCAATAATAGCAGCAGCATTGTCTGGAATTGACCCAAGCAGACGCGGGCGGCCTTCAAACAGCACCACGATCACCTTGGTACCTGTGGCTGCCAGCGCTTCAATGAACTTTTCCTGACCCTCAGGCAGTGCAGGGTCATCAATGTCTCCAGGCTTTTCCGTGTAGTTGGGCTCTCCGATGGCAGCGATGGTGTATCTATGCTGACCGGCAAGTTCCACAGCTTTGGCCAGATCGACATCCGAGATAGATCCATTAACACGAAGTCCGTTGAAATATGTAAACGAGTCATTGCCAACCAAATTCTCCATACCTTTACGGACGGAGACCCCGTGCGGGAACATCGCATTGCCCGAGTAACCTTGCCAGGTCAATGTCCAGCCACCGCACTGGTACCCCACATTGTCTGAAGCGTGACCCGTGAGAAACACGGATGCGCTTTTTGGTAGTGGCAACACGTCGCCTTCGTTTTTGAGCAGCACAATAGATTCGCGCGCCATCTCCAACGCAATTTTCTTGTCCATGGCGTTTCCAACCATCGACACGTACTCTTTGCCCGGCACCGGATTGTCGTAGAGTCCTAGCTGGAGCTTCAGTCGGATGACGCGCTTGACGGACTCGCGCAGTCGAGCCTCCTGCTCCGGATTCTCCGTGAGCATATTCAGGCCGTATTCGATGAAAGCGGTGTCCAGCGGCACCATACTAATATCAATTGAAGTCTGCTTCAAAGAGGTAGCTACAGCCTCTTCTCGAGTAGCCGACACGCGGTGAAAGTCGTGCAAGTTGTAGATCTCGTTCCAATCCGAAACAAGCACTCCATTAAACCCGAGGTCCGACCGAAGTAGGTCGTTCAGGATTCTCGAGCTAGCAATCACCGGATCACCGTTCAAGGAAATGTAGTTCTCCATCATCGTCAGCGCGCCGGCATGTAATGCGGCTTTGAACGGCGGCAGAAAGTTGTTAAGGAGATCGAAATCCGAGATCAGAACATTGTCGCGGTCGTGACCAGTAGGCGTCTTCGAGTACCCGATAAAGTGCTTGATGCAAGCAGCGGTTTCGTTATAGCTCTGGAGTCCACGGACGTAAGATTCTCCCATCACGGAACAAAGGTATGGGTCCTCGCCGAATGTCTCGTAAGTGCGAGCCCATAACGAGTTCTGCGAGATGTCAAGGATCGGACCGAAAACCCAAGGGATGCCGGCAGCCTCAGTGTCGCGAGCAGTGATGCGGGCCATCTCGTAGACAAGGTCGGGGTTGAAGCTCGCGCCACAGTTGATTTGCTGTGGAAAAAGCATGGCTCCTGTCACGTAACTTGCACCGTGGATGGAGTCAATTCCATATAGTATGGGGTGACCTCCGTTCTCTTCCATTGTGATTTCTTGGATACGATGGATAAGAGATCGAAACTCGGTGGCATTGTAGCCGTAGTTGCCGTCAACAGACTGGCTGCTCAAAAACGTGTTCAGGTACGACCCAACGTTCATCCTCGCAAAAGTACGCACTGCGTCCTCGTTAAGCTCATAGGTGTCGCCATTCATGACGGTGCTGATATCGAGCTGCGTCATCTGTCCCATCAACTCAGCTACGGAAAATCCGTCCACAATTTCTTGAGCTTGAGCATCGAGTGCTTCATTCTCAACAGAAGTGAGCGCAAGTACCACACCGGGTAAAAACACTGCGGTTAACCAGGACTTGAGCATTGATGCTGACTTGGGCAGTCCTTCCGTTGGTAAAGCGAGTTGAAGTGGGTAAATTATAGAGTGAACAGAGTGGCAAAAGCGTGATTTTGACTCGATACGATTGGTATGGCGATCGTTATAAAGCAGATACGGTGGCTCTCTTACACAGAGGAAAGTTCAGTGAGACGAAGTCGTTATATTATCATCTTCAAATGCATGTTGCTAAGCAGTTATTGTACAGTACGTGACTTGTAACGGATGTGATTATATAAAGACTCTCGAAAACGTTAACAGAACTATATTTGATACATGTCATCTTCTACGAGAGCAATACACCAAAAGATTGGTAGCGACAAAATACCTTTGACTTTACAAAAAAGTGAATGATACATATCTAATAAGGTTTGTTATAGCTGTAGAGGAAGACAACGACTGAAAATTGGGGAGCAAAGCTACGGCAGTTTTGCTCAAAGGGAAAGGCCAATCCGACGAAGTCGTTAGGATACACGAGCTAGCTTAGACTACAAAGCAACAACGTTCAATGGTATTGGATGTGGCAGAGCGAGAAAGTAAATACTATTGTAATATTGGAGGACAACTATCCTTGCCTCTAGCTCTACCCAGCAAAAAAATGGCTTACCCGTCCGAACAATTGTGACTGGCAGCTCGATGTGTCAGCAAACAGGACTTGATTACATGAGTTACGTCTGTAAAGTCGTTTTAGGTCGAGTAACTAGTCGCAGATCTTTTCTTGAAGTTTTACGAAGTACGTGCGTATCCGCTGGTAAGAGGCACTTTTTCGGTAAAGTTTCAAGCTTACGTAAGATCTCGTTATTCATTTATAAGTCTCGCTAGCTTGTAAAAGGAGCACAACGCCGATGTAGTTATAAGCCCTTTCACAAATGGTTCAAAGCAAGCTTAGGGCGTCTTGGAAATGCCTACCCAGGTTTTATTCTTCTAGTACATTGCTAAATGTATTAGTTTTGGGCCATCGGTCACGCGTTTATAGCTGCAGCGCAATTTTACTAAACGTAGAAACGCTGCTTAATGACAAAGCAGAAGTCTACATAAGTCTTGCACTATTCGTAAGGCATTCAATTGAGGTCATGTGCATGCTGATCAAATGCAATGACTTTGGTCAGACAAACTACATGAACTGCTAAAAACAATTGAGATTATATGTATCTTGAACAAATGGAAGCTTCTGGTAGCACACTAAGCTAAATATTCGCCACCATGATAGGCAAGGTTTACGAAACGAAGAAATTGCACGCAACGACCGACTTTTCACGAAAAGTTCTCAATGAAAAAGTCGAGTGACTCGCTCAATGTCGGGAGATCGTCCATGTCCGTGAAAGCAAAGCCTGCGTCATCAAAGAGAAAAGACGACGACACAGAGGACGGTGAAGATCCGTTGTTGTTTATGATCGGGCAGATATCTGCTTCATCGAACGCCACAGGAACATTCGTAGGACACTGGAGGCGAAGCGTTTTAACATGATCAGGTAGGGGCATCCCGGTCACAGGTGGCATCGATACTGGAACGGGTTTTACCTCGTGGTGGTGGCTTGGACGTGCATACTTGTTCCGTAGTTCAGAAGAAAAACTAATAAGCGTGTGTTGTGCTAAAACCTCGTGGTCGATGCGGTGTTCGCGGCGTAGACGAATAGTCTTACCCGTTTGCAAACCGTTAAGACGGCGAGAGACTTTCTCCTGATATTTCTGTGCGTGTGTTTGCACCTGACGGACAGATCGGGTACTAACAAATTTTGTGATTGCTTTCCAGGGTCCCTGTGGGTATTTTTTGAGTGCTTCGAGGAATCGGTCGTGCTCTTCGCTGGACCAGACGCCTACTGCTCGATGGGTGTTCGTGGCAGCATTGAATTTGGTTGACGTTGCCAAGGTCGAAGAGGAGAGTATCACCAAAGGTGCTGTGGTGTCAAGTGAGAGGTTGACTGAGGCTCGTTTGCTTGCAGTTGCCGCCATGAGGAAGATTGAGGAATGAGTGACGATTCACCCACACGAGAGAAAAGTAACGACAGGCGAGAGCCCTGTGCGTGGAGAAGACCAGTCGGGATCAACACATTGGCAGTTACGCTGGACTACACCAGTCAAGTCAAGCGTAATCGATGTTTCCGTTCCGCAAAATGTGGTTGATTCCACAGCGTTACTAGTTCTCACGAACAGCAAAAAGGCAAGTTTCAAGCGCTCGGCACTAGTTATTTTAGTCTGCGGCAGGCCAAGAGTCCAGATAGATCCGCGAATTCGATACAGAAGGCCGAAAAAATCCCTCTGACCAGCTTTAGATTTCTAGTAATCGGGTGGGGCTCATTTGCCAGCTTTGTGGCCAGCAAAAGCTTTGATTGAAGAATCAACTCGCTGCCGTGTCAGCCATGGCGTGGAACCACATGACCGGATGTCCCTAGCTTCATATTTTGGTGGCGACCCCAACATGCAGAGGGGATGTGGTGGCAAATTCACAGCGTGAGCATCCCTGATACGGCGACAAAGTGATCACCTAGCAATAAAAAACTGATGAGATAATCGCACCGCACGTGTCGAGATGGTTGAAACCGTGTTTTGTAAAGGTTCGACGGTGACAGCGCTGCTGAGCCCTTTTCAGCTCCTCAAAGTTTTTGCCGATCGATATCATTTGCAGGCTGCCTTATTTTTCTTTCCACTGTTCAGCGTTAGCTGGGCTTGAAAATGGCACGCATGCCGGTCGATTGTGTAGTGTTCAGAGGCTCAAGTTTTAAAAAAACTTGAAACTTTCGAGTACTTGCGGCTTTCCGTCGGCCAAGATCGAATAAGCGCAAGTTCTGTGCTGACGATCCATCGAGAGCAATTTGTCGAGTGTTGAATCATAACGACGTTTACTGAATCGAAGTCGAAGGTCCTAGAGCGAGAAAGCGTTACATTGCGATCTGCGTCGGCTATTAAATTTCTAGTGAAGTCCTGACACGCAATAAATTTGTCGTTAAGTGTGATCAATCTCGTTTTGTTTCATCCTTCTGTTAGTAGTATCCTAGTAGATCCTGCTCGACGAATAAATTGAGGCTTCTCGTCGCTAGCAGACAAGTTTTCATCCGATGGCTACCCAGTCTACACGAAACACATACATGTCCATATGCCGCCACTCAATCTAGTCCCCCAATGCCTTGACCAGCACATCCAATATTGGAAAATGGATCATCAAACTACCTTTGAAGCCCTCTGTCTCAGCTACGCCTTACTTGTTTCGATGAAAAAAAGAGTTGCGCGAGTTATGATCGCTGCTGTAGTTGCTACGACCTGAGCGGAAAATACTGGAGCGGTAGCTACTTGGACTGCCTGACGACATGCCAGAGCTCGATTCCATCGGGGAAAGACTCAACGTCGAGGTGGACATCCGACTGCTTGAGCCACGGTTATCATTGTTGGCTAGAATCGAAATCCGCTGGAAGTCTTCGACCTCCAAAGGTGGTGAGCGCTCCATGCGGGGGTGGGCTAGAGAACCCCAACCATTTCCTTGTTGCTGCTCCAACTGTGACAAAGTGATCCGCATGCTCGTTCCTATAAATTCTTTCGTGTGCACATGTACCTGGATATCTGGCCGCTCCGCAAGCTTCGGGATAACAAGCTGCATAAATCCATCCAACATCATTGGAGTCACGTACTTGAGCTCAACGCCCATCGGGAAAGTGTCCGACACAATTGGACCGCCATCCAAAACGTTCTTGAGCCATCGCGTCATGTAATCCAACTTTTTCGGGTTACCCTGCGCCCAATCCGTGAGCAATCGCTTCCATGGCACAGAGCCCAGATTATAGTGCATGGACGGCGGAAAATTGCGAATCTCTTCCCAGTGATCTTTTACCCGGCGTGCGTTGCCCTTGCTTGAGACCTTGCTCTTGGCATGCCCGATGCGTGCAGCACTTTTCAGTAGCAAGTGGTGCGCCTCGGCCGACTTTTGGTCCATGATGCCGTTGACTGCAGCCGTGGCAAGAGGCGACTTGTCCGACGATATCGACGTCAGCGAGCCACGCCCACCAGAAGCTGGACCAGCGTTGTTGGCTTGCATGATACTGCCTATTTCTGAAGGCAGGTCTCGTAATTCGCAAATGTACGAGCGGAGTTTCTCGTATTCCGTCTCAATTGCCGCCAAATATGTCAAGTCCTTACTTTCTTGGTCGCGATAGGCCAGCTTTTGCACCTGCTCGCCCACCTCCTTAGACTGTTGCCAGTTTTTCAACGTACGGTTCTCAGTCTTGAGGCGCTGGATTTCAAACTCCTGCTTCTCTAACTGCTGACGCAACTTCTCGTTTTCTTCGTGGAGTGCAGTGATCACTTCGTGACTCTCGTCCAAAATACCGCTAGTACCGCTGAATCGATTGTTGAGCATCGAGCCCCGGGTCGAGCTGTTGCTGGATGTACCACGGTCGCTGCCTGGTCCTGACGCGTTAGGTAAATCTGACGGACTAAGTGAACGAGTCTTACTTGATGGAGACATTTTCGTTCCAGTATGCACTTGCTTTCTGTCTAGCTTCATTTGAAGTTGTGCAACCTTAGAGCCAAGCTCTTTGTAAGCTTTCTCCTTTTCCATCTTACGCAGAAACACGAGACGCAAAAGTGAAAAACGGAAAAAGCCTTGCAGCCGTCTTACAGCATCAACTTTCTTGAGGTAACGCTTTCGCTCCGTGTGCATACGGCAGTGGGCCTGGAAACGAACAATGCGGTAGTCAAACTTAAGCACGCGGTACATCTTGCGAGCCGAAACACCGCGGGCTTGAGTCTGCAGCCGCACTAAACCTCGACGCAACGTCAAATACTGTTTGCGAACCACATAGCGGCGCCAGTACTTTTGGATGACCACAATTTCCAGCTTTTGCCGCATGAAATACCTGCGCATAAGCCAACTACGCACATTCTTCTGTAAGACGATTGCGTATTTACGCAGCGCCCAGCCTCTTTTTGTCTCCAACTCTTCCAAAACACTCTCTCGAAAGTAAACGCGGGTCAGACCCACCTGATAATCACTGATGTTGCGTCCAGGCAAAAGCTTTTCCATCAACTCCTCGCATTGGGTCTTCATATGCTCCGTATCTGAGTCGCGTAAGAATTTGTTCTGTGTCGGAACTGCACCGGTAAGCAGCACGCGGAACTTCTTGATACACTCCTGATGCGGCATGCGACTGGGATACGCGCTGCGAGACACTCGAATGGCCTCAATGACACCAGCACAACGCAGCTGGCTAACGATATCTCCGTGTGAGAAGCAGTGAGCACTCTTTAACGGGTTGGGTTTCAGACAACGCACATAGTGCACCTCCGTGAGGCCGATTTTTTCCATTAGCTGTGACAAACTCTCCTTGAACTGTGTGCCCACAGTAGTACGACGAGTTTGGGCATGTCCCCCCTTTTTCTTAACGCTGCTGCTGCGCGCCCTGCTGCGGGCACTGGTACCATTTATAACAGCATTGCTAGCATTGACGTCGTCCGTAAACATCTTACACAAAATTTTGAGCTTGGACTTGCTCATGCACTGCTTAATATCCGGCAAAATGGCGTCACGGTGTTTGTCAAGGAAGCCCGACGCATCGTAAGTTACCTTACCAGCGTAGTGGTAGATGGAGAAAGCGCACTTGTTCAGCCGAGGAGTCTCCAAAAGCGGATTATTTTCCATTACTGCACTCAGTTTGCTTGCGAACGACGCGTCCGTACCGGTGGCAAGTAGCGACTCCTCGTTTAAAAAGCTGATGACACCCAGGCGGCCTTCAATAAGATTTAGCACGTCCTGGTTGTCCGCAAAAAGGATGTGAGACCACGAAATGTTCTCCTCTTCGTACTCGATTTGTACCGTCTTGAGCACGTCCTGCACGAACTTTTGCTGCAATTTTTCGTTGGCGTAGTTAATGCAAAACTGTTCGAACGAGTTGGTCTCAAAGTGCTCAAAACCAAAGATATCCAAAATTCCAATGAACGAGCCTGCCCCCTTAATCTTCACTCCAATAGTCTGGTTTATCTGCTCCACAAGCCACAAAAACAACTTCGAATACAAGCTTTTGGCCAGCGCGTCACGACAATCTGCCGCCTGGTCGTGCGTCATTGGCTTCAAGATCACTTCACGACCCACAAACACGTTACGGTTGCACACCGCACGCTCCAACGCGTCCGGATCAACACCAAGCAGACGACAAGCCACAGTGAAGTGCTTCACATCCAGCAGTTGCGAGGCATCCACATCGCCATTTCGTGTAGTGAACTCCGTCTCACCCAAATGTAGCACAGCGCCTAAAATCTGGATAATCTCCTGCTGCAACGGCTGTTCGATGCCGACAAGCTCTAGTGCCTCTCGTGTGCGACTAAGGTCGCCTTCTTCGTCATCACCGGGACCTTGAGTCTGGACAGACACGTACTGAAATGAGTCCACCATATCAAGCTCCAGTTCCGGAAACTGTTTGCGCTGCGCCAGCAATTGGTAGAAAATATGAAAGTTTCGTTCTCCTTGTGCTTGTGTCGTAACTCGACTCTTCTCCAGTAAATATGTCCGAGATCTGGCGCCAATCAATTGGCCCTCGATAGTGTACTGAAGCTCCGTGAACTTCCCAAAACGACTGGAATTGTCGTTGCGCACGGTCTTGGCATTGCCAAACGACTCGAGCAGCGGATTGGCCTGAATAATCTGCTGAATAACCTTTGAATTCGAATTGGTAGCCAAAGCAGCTAAATGGCTCATGACGATCTTCGTTGTCTCTGTTTTTCCTGCTCCTGACTCGCCCGAGACTAAAATACTTTGATTTTCCTGTTTTTGTCTCATATTGAAAAAAGCCTCCATGGATACGGCATAAACGTGCGGAGGTTTATTTTCCCTTTTTCCGTCACTAAATTTTTCCATTGTAGACTTGGAATAAAGATCCAGCCACTGATACGGGTTTACTGCGATACAAATTCGGCCAGTATAGGTATCTTCATTGCGACCAAAATAATGATAATTAATTGTGGACATAACAGAGACAACAATATATCACAAAAGAATCACGTCAGTCAAAATGTACCAAAACGCAACAAACTTTTTGATAAAACCTTACATGGCAATCGCTGAAAAAACCTCCTTCTCAAATTATAGAGAATTGAGGCCTCATGCAAATGATCAATGAGAATCATGTCTTCGAACCCATTTGCACTGTCACTTGTATTTTGTAACGGTAACGACGGTTTGTTATCTGCCAATTCTACCGACGTATTCTTGGCATTAAGTGCTTCCAGGACCAGCGCATCGGTAAGGTCCACGGATCGCTGTGTACCAGCAAACGATTCGAGCTCGCGCTCGGATGGAATCAATTCCAATACCGACGGATCTCGCGGCCCCACGACCTCATCAAGCCGCACAGTCAGCTGCTTGCCATCGGCTCTGGCACCGCAGATCACACCAGGCAGCCACACGTGCTCAGAATCGGGTGCAAATACCTAATTTTTGGTTGATGTACAAAAACAAATTAGCCTAAAGCGACAGGGGAGGCAAGACTTTTAACCATTAAAAGAAAGTAACGGCGGGTTAGGTGCACCTTGATTCCCTCCATTGTTGCTAGACAGACTTCAACGCACTCCTCTTTAAGTCTCACCCTGACTTCTCGATAGACTTTTTCCTGTCTACTTTCCACCTCTTGCTATTGCTGTCGTCTGCGAGAGTGAACACTGTGCTCTTTTTTCTCCTCTGCCTTCGGTTGGGCAACAAAAAGGAATCATCCAATCACAGTGTGCCAGAAATGACAAATGGCTTCACTAGTGTGGCATACGCAATTTGAATATGACGTGACGCGATTTAAATTTATTCCGAAGGGACGATAGGTTGTATACTGTGGTAGAGATAGCTTAGTGCCACGTATAAGCTTTTTCTGTCCGTAGCGCATCACTGACGAGACATTGCTATCTAAACCTGTGGCAGATGGCTTCCGTCGCGAAAAATAGTAATGTCGAAAAATTAGAGACAGGATAAAAGCACAAATAGGACTAAATCCAAAAATAGTCCACACAATTTGGAGGGCCACAAGTAATCCATGATGCATATACAACGGCTTGTAAACTCTGTGCAACGATCCTTTCCTGGTCGTTGTTTCTATGCCTCACCACTGCTTCCCCAGCAACAGGTAAAATGCTTTGCAGCGATAGACTCGTCCTGGGAGTGGCTTAAGGACCCAAAGAGTCCTCAACTGCAACGTTTCCTTGAGTTAGAACGCAATTATCTAGCAAATCAAGTGTCCAAACCAAAATTCCGCAAAGTGGAGCGTACATTGAACATGGAGCTGCGAAACCGTCTATTGCGTGAAGACTTTAGCGTGCCCGAGTGCATTGGCAAGTTTGAATATTATATGAAACAAGCGTCGGGTGAGAATTTTCCCGTGTATTACCGAAGAGCGTACGATGCAACGGCAATTTCAACAATGAAAGAGCAAGTGGTACTAAACCCAAACACGGAACCGTTACTAAATCATGGCTTCCAGTTTATCTCAAGCATGAAAATCTCTTACGATGCGTCAAAGTTGTTGCTAATAGTAGAAAATAACAACGAACAATGTCAAGTCGTACTAAAAGACTTAACGACTGGAAAAATGCAGGTACTGGAGGATATTATTGGGATTAGAAATGTGGAGTGGAGTTCCACACCGGAACGAATCTTCTATTATACAAAAGTGGACAAGCACGGACGACCATTTGCGGTGTATCGATACAATTTGATGACTCAGACACAGAAACTAGTACGTAATAAAAAAATGCGACGTTGCTGTAAATGTTGAAGTAAGGATCGAAATGACTAACAACAAAATGGCTACATTGTATATACTTTGTGATGGAATAGATCTATGAAGAACAGGACAAAGCTTTCTATGTGGATGTATCGCAAACGAAAGACGAATGTTTTGTGCTGATTAATTGCAACTCGAAAAACACGTCAGAAATTTACGCACTGGACGGCCACAGCATTGATGCACAGCCTCAAGTGTTGCGTCTGCGCGAAACTGGCACGTTGTACTTTGCAGACCATGCCGCTGGACAGTTTTACATTGTCACAAATGCTGATGGTGCGGTCAATTACAAGATTGCTACGTTTACACTCGACGCAGCGGATGCACACTTGAAAACGTTTATTCCTGAGCACAAAGACGTAAAGATTGAAGATGTGGATCTGTTTGAGAAATATCTTGTGCTTTACGAACGTGTTAACAGTGTACCACGCATTCGAGTGTGCACACTGGAAAAGCAGAGCAAAGAAGGCGCAAGTACTCCTTATGATTACATCCCGTTGCCCAAAGAGCACGAAATATGTCGGGTTTCACCTGGAGTCAATCGCGATTATGCGTCACATCATGTACGATTTCAAGTGTCTACACCCCTTGTACCAGAAATTGTTTTCGACTACGATATGAAGAGCAGAAAGTTGCAAGTGGTTAAGGAGACAGAAATGACGGATAGCTCGGTCAAACAGCAACGCGACAGCACGACGACGGTGGCAAAGTCGTCGTTTGAACCGAAATGTTTCACATGCCAACGGTGCTACGTGCCTAGTATGAGCAGCCTAGGAGTGAAAATTCCAATGACCCTTATTCACCGGCGCGACATCACGCTAAATGGGAAAAACCCGACACTACTTATTGGCTATGGTGCATACGGCACCAATCTTGAAGCTGACTTTGAGCTTGAGCATTTGAGTTTACTGGAGCGTGGGTGGGTGATTGCACTTGCTCATGTGCGTGGTGGCGGTGAACTGGGCTTACCATGGTACCAGGCAGGCAAAGGCATGCAGAAACGTCACACGTTCGATGACTACGTATCGTGCACTCATTACCTGCTCGATGCAGGATTTACGAATCCCAAACGACTCGCTGGAAAGGGAGTGAGTGCTGGCGGACTAATCATGGGGTACGTGGCCAACGAGTATCCACAGCTCTACCAAGCTCTGATTATGAAGGTGCCTTTCGTAGACATCCTGGCTACTATGCAAGACCCGACATTACCACTAACCGTTCACGAATATGATGAATGGGGTGATCCCAATGGGCCGAAGGCTCATGAGTATATTCGATCCTATGCACCATGCGAAAACGTGCGCGAGAATCAGGTGTACCCTGCAATGTTCGTGACTGGCAGCCTGAACGACCAGAGAGTGCAGTTTTGGGAGCCTGCCAAGTGGATGTACAGAATGCGTAAAGTGCAGGCTTCGCTGTTAAAGCGTGACAAGCGCCTCATGATGCTAAAAATGGGTGAAACTGATGGTCATTTCGGCGGTGGTGGTCGTCTAGAACAACTGGAAGAGAGTGCTATGGAAATTGCATTCCTCTATCAAGCACTACGCCTTCCGTTTCCGCCAGAATAGGTGATGAAGACAATGGAGCTCCACACAAATACCTGAAAAAATAAATAGTAGATGTCACTGCTTTCGGACAAGAATATATTTTACTCGCTTACATAGTGAGTGACACGGCTGTTGGGTGAGGCACATCAACGTGCCCCACCCTCGTGAATGTGATATCCACATTCACGAGGGCACATTCAACGAAGATGACGCCAGTTGGGACTAGGTGTCATGGCGACGCTTCGAACAGACTTCATCAGCGAGCTCAAATATATTTTTAAGCTCGCACGTAAGGATACGCTTCTAAAGAGACACGTATCCGATCTTTGCATAATTAGCCAATTAGTAGTTAATCTAAAATGTAATTTAATCTCTATTAAATATAAGTCAGTCCTAAATTTATTAACTATTGTCCACTGCGCACAAGAAGCTGAATAAGCTTTTGCGTGTCGTAAGCGAAGCACTTGTTTTTAGAAGCTCGTTGAGCGGATCGCTTTAAACGACCGGCAACGGTTGGGTACAGCGCTTCTTAGCGCCAACCAACACCACCACCACCGCACGCAAAGGTAAGAGGGCATAACCGCTTCCACGCGCAACTTAAAGGTGTGCCCGCGTAGTACGTGGTAGCTTCATTACGAAGTGCCCGTCTACATCACTTCTTTGATCGTCGGCTGATAGTTGGCGCAAATTTTTGACTTAAAGCTCACGGAAGAAGGTTGCTTTCGTGTCCGCAATAAGAGCCGTGTAAGCCACTCCGAGGCCTTACACTCGTGATGGAGACACTATTCGGGTATCGGCCTCTATAAGCTGCACCACACCGCATTGCTCTTCGGCTAAGAGACAGTGGACAATCGCGTTAAATGCAGTTCCATCCGAATTTAAAAACTCATTTGAACGAGCCTTGGCTGATAATGTAACAGGGCTAGAACGTACCGTCACTAGCTTACACGTGCGCTTGAGGAAGACTCAAGCCCGAGTATTAGGTATTAAGTAAATTTAACTCTGATTTTTATTTTGGTTTTAATTCGTACTAATTACGAAGATTTTAGTCGTAATAAATACGACAGTGTTCCCGCCTCTCGGGAACCACACAATTTCAGGTTGATTTATCATTGGTCCATATTGGGGACTTTAGGCCCAATAATAAACCAATAATAAATTACCACGCTGTGCCCGCTATTCGGGCCCAGCACCTGCCTACATATGTAATTGTTTATTTGTGTTAATGCTATATGTGTAATGTAGCCCATTACAGATAAGGTTTGGCAAATAGTCACTTTGCAGTCCTGTTGCCAGCTTCGTTTCGGGCCTGCTCACGCTAAAGCTCATCCTAAGTCTCACTGAAGGACTCAGCCCCAAACTGACTTAAATTTAATAGAGATTGAACTATATATAAGATTAACTACTGATTGGCTAATTATGCAAAGATCGGATACGCGTCTCTTTAAAAGCGTATCCTTACGTGCGAGCTTAAAATATATTTGAGCTCGCTGATGAAGTCTGTTTGAAGCGTCGCCATGACACCTAGTCCCAACTGGCGTCATCTTCGTTGAATGTGAATCCATTCATGGATATCACATTCACGAGGATGGGTCACATTGATGTGCCACACCGAACTGGCAGGCCTAAGGTACCTCGTACCTTTTTAGGCCTGTCCGCTAGGTATTCAATACCTAACGAACCGTATAACTTTAGCTCATTACACCATCCTCCTCTTTAAGACGATTTTTACATTTTGTTAAAAATCGAATAAAAAACGATGCCATCGAAACGTGGAAAAGCTGATGGGTTGCCTGCAAAGGCGCCCATGCATACCAACACAAAGCGCTCACGCCGCGATAACTTGCAGCCGTCGCTAAGTGTCTCTGTGAGAACGCCGACATTCAATGTCAGCTTGTTAGCAGAGAACACTGGTCCGTCCCACTATCCAACAGACGCGTGTGTTTCCACCTGAGTTCGCCAACACAGGTAACGCCCGATAGGAGCGGCGATTACGCCCAGCTATTCGCGGCTGCCTACCCTGCTGCTGTTCAGTCGCAAGCTGAGTCCGCTGCGCTGAAGAGGCAGGTGGTAGATCTCGAGAGTCAAGTCTCGCGACTGACCTCGGATCTGCGCGATGTGAGGAAGAGGGACCGTCAGGGGTATGACCGCCTGAAGCTCCGTTTGTACATGTTTGAGTAACTGGTGATGAGAGACCCGCGTCAAGCGCGGAGTCTTCCTCGATCGCTGAGTCCTCTATCGCCTCGTTCGTATACGGGGAGCCTCTTGTCTTCCTCGTCGCCTGATCGGCCGCGACGTTCGACTCACAGTCGACGTCACCATCGGTCTCGTTAGACCGATGTGGATATGTGATCTCTTCTGGATCAACATACCGTTTCAGACGACCCACGTAAAATACGGGGTGCGTCTTCATATACGGTGGGATTGTGAACCTATAATTTAGGTCTCCAACTTCTTCAACCACTGTAAAGGGCCCAATGAATCGGGGCAATAGTTTAGTAGTACCACCAGATAGTACAGAGATTGCATGTTTAGGTAGGGTAGCAGTACTTAATAGCACCTTGTCCCCCACACTAAAGTAATCATTGTTTTTGCGACCATGCTGGTCTGCATATTGTTTTTGCTTGCCATCGCGTCACGGACTTTACGTGTGATGGATAATCGCGCATCCACAAAGCGCTGAGCTTCGCTCACGCTTTTAGCATCCAGTCACCTATGACGCCTCCAAGAGGTTGACGCTGTTGATAACACTATAGTGTCATCTTCAAGGAGCACTGGCATTTCTTGCCGTGCCTCACCCATAGGTGTCGTGATCACTGCTAAATTGGCAGTGTCAATAGGGTAATTTGGACCCTCTTTGGCATTTGCACCGAGCGAAAAGAGGGGCCCTCCCCCAATAATACTCGGGCTGCGCAAAAACGAGACTGGCGTTCGAGGATGACGCAGTCCGTTAATATAAAACGATGTTTCACCAGTACTGGTGTAAACGCTTCTATTAATAGGTAGCTCCACCAATGGCAATTGCTTGTTCCATTCCTTAGGAGTCGCAATTGTGCGCAACACATCTGCCACGACTCGATTGGCTCGTTCCATTTTTGCCATCGGTTTGAGGATGATCAGCTGTTGACATGTAGAGCTTGCTACCTAGAAGCTAGAACACATGACGCCAAAACCCCGACGTAAAACGCGGATTCGGATCCGATACTATGGACTTGGGCATCCCGGTAGCCGGTACACGTGATCCAGAATCAAGAAGGCAGCCTCTTTTCCTGAGATCTTGGTGCTACATGGTGCCACATGCCCCATCTTGCTCAGTCTGTCTACAAAGACAACGAGCCCCCTCCTGCCTTTATGGTCAGGCGGTAAGCCAAACATGAAGTCCAAACTGACCGACTTCCAACAATCCGTTGAAATCGGCAGTGGCTTCGGTGGCGCACTGTTCGAAGGTGCAGGCTTTATGCGCTGACACTCTTCGCAAGAGAGAATATAGTTGGCCACCCACCAATATAGGTGGGGCCACCAACATTCCTCTGACACTCGTAAGAATGTCTTTTCACGACCCAAATTCCCACTAGATGGCGCATCATGGCACTCGTGAAGTATCATCAGCTTGAGATATGTGTCATGAGGGACATAGATTCTCAAGGGATCACAGGGTGACAGTTGATGCCATAATAGGCCATCACTGTATATAAAGTGGTTTAACTTCGCTTTTAGGTGCGACGGAAGGGTAAACTTTCGCCCACTAAAATGATCCAACAGCAGGCGACAATGTTCGTCCTGACTGTAACACTCCTTTATATCGGAGGCCATTGAGCTCGTCACATGGTAGGCCTTCATGGCTGCCAATGTTGACGACTCACCTTGTGCTTCCGCACGAGACACACTTTCCTGGTGTCTTGCCTCGAAGTCTGGTCTGCGCGATAACGCGTCAGCCAAGACATTCTACTTACCCGGCTTATATTCAACTTTGAAATTAAATTCAGAGAAGAATGTTAGCCATCTCGCCATTCTCGGCGATAGATGCGGTGAATTTATAGCGGTCCGCAGTATGCGTGATCCGTATAAACCACAAAAGGTTCGGTGCCCAAGAAGTGCACCCGAAACTTTACAAGGGCATACTTCATTGAAAGTAGCTCCTTGTCATGCACAGGTTAATTCAACTCGGCAGCTTTTAAAAGACTGATAAGATATGACACGGTCAACGCCGTTGTCATCCTTTTGCATGAGCGCGCTGCCGATTGCAAAATTGCTTGCATCGCAGACGACGCTAAAGAGCTTATTCGCGTCTGGCAATGCCAAGATCGGTGTCTCTACATGAGATTGCTTCGCTGATGTGAACGCATCTACTTGCTCCTTTGACCAAATCCATTCTGTATCCTTTTTCAGAAGGTCAGACAATGTCTTAGTTTGCTCCGTATAATCCTTGCTGTACTTATACAAGTAATTAGCGATCACAAGGAATCGGCGCAGATCCTTCACGTGTCGTGGGACTGGCCATTCCTTTACAGCCTTAACCTTTTCTGGGTCTGCTCGTACACCATGTGTACCTACGATGCAGTCCAGTAAAGGTATCTCAGATACCCCTATGACGCACTTTGCAAGTTTACGTACAATTTGGCGTCACCCAGAGTCTGCAACTTAGCGTCTAAATGACGCTTGTGCGACTCGATTGCGCTCAGACCGTCCTGCGCCCTACTATGCACGAATACATCGTCAAAGTAATGGGGCGCGTAGGCACGGTGCTGACGCATCACGTGAGCCACCACTCGGTTGAATGTTGCCGGAGCATTTTTCAACCCTTGTGGCACCACAAGCCACTCCCATAGCATACTTGTAACGGGGCTATAAGCGTACCGTCACTAGCTTACACGTGCGCTTGAGGAAGACTCAAGCCCGAGTATTAGGTATTAAGTAAATTTAACTCTGATTTTTATTTTGGTTTTATTTCGTACTAATTACGAAGATTTTAGTCGTAATAAATACGACAGTGTTCCCGCCTTTTGGGAACCACACAATTT